TATTCATAGGCCCAACCTGGGCAAAAATATGCAATTTGGTGCAGTTTCTGATATTTATATGGCCAAAAAGAAAGATGAAATTCTGATAGCTTTCGTTGTAAATCAAAGAGATTATAGGTAGCAGACCTTTTAAAATACGTTTTTTAATATCGGTTGTAACTATAACTCCCAATAATATGCTATGTAGTAAGATAATATTTAAATGCTTAGTTTGATGAAATCTAGTTTGTAATGGAAAACAGCGCAATGCAATTCATGGATGATTAAGAAATGTACAAATAATAATAATCAATAAACATTCCTCAAAACTTGACGTATCATATTTGATACAATGTAACATGATTTTTCAACAAAAAAAATAAATAAATAAATAAGAATGGATAATCAATCTTCAACGCAGTACATGTTTATACATATTACTAACAATACAAAATATTCTCACATTTACTTAAAAATCACTAAAGATGTCACAGCAAAAAGGCGTGTGTACCAAGACCTGAAAATGAAAGTTTTAGAGTTATACTAAAATAAATGCACCACTCACTGTTCGCCCCTCCCTTTCGAAGAGGCTACGGTGGCTAAAACGGGACAAACATATCGTCGTCTGAGACAGCAGAGAGTAGCCAGAGTAAGCCAAGAATGTGTACCATTATCACTGTTTCTGAACCACAGTCCATTATAAACCACATCATGGATAAAGTTTACAAAGACATAGTCTTTGTAAACTGGTGAGGATCAAGTGTCTTAATATAATATAATAATAGTAATCAGCTGATTGACTCGTAACCAAACGTAACCAGAACATTTCTCCCCACATAGCAAACCAACGCATTATAATCCTAGGGCGTCATATAGTGACGCTTTTGACAATGTGTATACATCCAACACACATGGCACCCTTTAGCATCAATATAACACGCTTCGGTTATGGGTAGGTTTAGGTCTGTGGTAGGGTTAGGATTAGACCACTAGGAGGCGCCTTCTGGCCCATATCTGCGTCTCATATTGACCCTGAAGGGTGCCATGCGCATTAGATGTATACGCATTGTCAAAAGTGTCAGTATATGCCGCCTTGGGATGAGAACGGGCTGAGCAAAACCATAATACAGCTAGGGAGAAGAACCACATCAAAATATGCAACTATATATATTTTCTAACATGGTAGTAAAAGTTTAGCTGGCTAATATGAGCTGTTACTGTGGCTGAACTGTTTAAAGCGTAAAGCATTATTTATACTTGACCAACACATTCTCATCTCAAGACGTCATATAACTGACGCTTTTGACCATACGTCAACATTTGACATTTTAGGGTACCCTTTAACGTCAGTTAGGTGACGATCCTAGGGCGTCATCCAACTGACGCTTTACCTTTAGCGTAAGTTAGATGACGTGGGTAGGTTTAGGTCTGGGGTAGGGTTAGGATTAGATAGCGTCATCTACTGACGTTAAAAGGTACCCTAAAACGTCGGATGTTGCCGTATGGTCAAAATGGGATGAGAACGGGCTAACTCGAACTCGATACATGAGCCCGAAGGTGCGTGCGGCAAAAATGTGATTGTATCAATGCACGCGCGCCTCCGCATCCCCTAGACACCATTTACTACACACAAATTAATAAATAATAATGAATAAAAATATTGTGTTTTTTTCTATGGTTTTGAAAACTCTTCGCGATCGACTTAAAATGCTTCCAAGATCAACTTGTCGACCGCGATCGACGGGTTGGTGACTCCTGTAACGTTGCTGTTTTACAGTGAATAGTACTGAATGTAACCAGCACATTTATCCCCACATAAGCCATAACACAGCGAGGGAGAAGAACTAAGTAACATGAAACAATCCAACTACATAATTAGCCTTTCGCCGAGCCCCGCCCCCCCTTAGTTACTGTTGCTATACCTCCGTCAAACAAATGGTATAACACGAGCAGCGCAACAGATTGCCATGACGGCAAAGGGTATTCCCGTGCGTGTCAGTGACCTTTTTTGGAGCAATACCTCCGCGATATCATCCAGATCGAGGCAAAACGGGTTACAGTATGCGGTGGAGGGATTTATTCAAAATATAAAAATAAGAAATGAAGGAGACACGTCTACTATTGAGGCTAATGCTTACCGGTCTCAAGCAAAATCAGAAAAATGACCATGCTACCTCAAATGCAACCAGCACAGCCTTGAAGATTTTATAAACTGGTTCAGTGGCTAATTGTTTGGAGTTAGAAATATATTACTTGCGCTGCATATTTAGTAAGTTTGCCGCCGATACAGGAGTACACATTCGCTTTTAACAAGGTTGTTCATTACCACACAGCAACCGCTTGCGCATCATGCTCAATGCGATTTTCGCGTTTAAAAAGTAACTAACGTTATGCATAAGAGACGGAAATAAGCAGAGAACCATACATTATTCAAGGTTATTTCTATTCGTTACGATATTGATTGATATGTGAACTGATGTTGTCAAGTAAGTTTCATGCTTTCCCCGTTGCGCGCGTGCACTCCTCTAAACTGTAGTCTACGGTGCTGCACTGCTAACTGATTGCTGCTAATTGTCCCCGAGAATATCATGGTATGTTAACAACAACCCTTTAGAAAATGTAATTCCTGTGTGAATACTCTTGATCGACACATTTAACTGGGATTGGGGCCGTCCACACTGTTTAATACATTTCAGGCACCGCTCACGTTGTGTTTTTGGCTTTGGAAAGGGAAAAAAAAAAACACAACTTCTCCAGACAATCTCTCGGGGTATCTTCCGCACCGCTTCACCATCTTGCTTGGAGCCGTTTGACGGAGCAGCTCACATAGTAACGGTTGCTATGATGTGTGATTGGACAATGGCCGTTTTGGGGCTGGCGAAAGGTCAAATTACACCACTGACAAGGGACAAGTCACTACTCACGGTGTTTATGGCTAGCTTCTAGCTTTCTGCGGCTTCTCTTTTAAGGTATGAACGAAACATGCTTATATGTAGATATAAATGTCTTATTCTAAGGTAATAAAAACATAACGGTTCATTGAGTAAGGTGTTTATACTACATCACTGAACATAAGGATCTTGTATTGCATTTCTGTCAATAGATCCTCAGAAATATTACACATCACACCTTTAAGAGATATTGATTTTAGTGTTTTGTTTATTGGCTGTTGGCAAATCTCTTCAAATAGGGAATATTAAAACAGAATATCTGAGATTAAACCAGTTATAACATATCTATGCATATACTGTATAATAAAAAGTTATTTCACAATGTTCAGAAGTTCGGTTCAAATAAGAATGACGAACTTGTTAGACAGGATTTCAAGACTTAACCCATCACATCATCACACCACCTAGAATGCATTCAAGATATGACAACCCAACCCTGGTACGGGAAAAGGCTTGTGTCTGTGAACTAGATTATACTCAACAAATTAATTTTTCACCTGTTGATTGTGATGCAGTAAGTGTGAGGTGGCTGATGACCAATAGGGAGAGCAGGGCTAGATGTACACCGGGTATTGTCTACATGTATGTTGGCTTGGGGGTATAGAGGGGTGAGCCTAACTTTCAGATGCCAACTTTTATTTTTGCTTTTAAACGTAACTGTCATGGCCACGGCATGCAACACAAAGGATTGTGGGATATCATTGGCAGCAAAGGATACGCTGCTTTAAAAATAAATCATGAAGTTATCCTACGCTATCTCACGACCAATTCGTACGAGTGATTAAAAAGTGGCTAATTCGTACGACCTCATTCGTACAAATTCGTACGATTTGTCTAAACCCACTTGATGGGTAGGTTTAGGGGCAGGGTCAGGGGTAGGTCATTCGTACGAATTCATACGAATTGGCCAATTCGTAAAATATGTACAATTTAGCAAAAATCATACTAATTCGTACAAATGAGGTCGTACGAATTGTTACGAATTAGTCACCTCGTAAAATTTGTACAAATTCCCGTGAGATCGGGTTGAGTTATCTCACTAGATGTGACACGAACATTGGAAAGTTACTTTAAAATGTGTGTTACAATATTGTTTACTCCTTGAAAAATAAACTAATTGCAAGTTACATTTATGGAAATTAATGCTATGTTACTTTTGTGTTACTTTTTCTTACTGCCTAAAGTTATATTTCTGCCCAATGTAAAGGCCCTTGCACCAAAAGTGAAATGCACCTTATTTTAAATAATATAAAAGTAATGTGGTACTTTAATTACTTGGAACAAGTATGTAACTCACATTATTCCCAAATACTGGATGTGCCTTGTCTTCTTACCTATACATTTTTCATCTTTCGGGCACAATTGGAATGGCGGTGCAAGGAGAGGGTCAGTTACAGTGGCCATGAAAAAGCAGACTCCAGAACCTATTGTAGAGAGAGGAGATCAGACAAGCTGTGACAGATGTGAATTGTGAAAAAGGTCCAAGTTGAGCGCTAATGTTTACTTTGCTTTATTGGAAGAATCCATTTTTGTTAATAAAAACACTGTTAATTCTTAACTCCTTCTTTACTGCCTGAACACTCAAGGGCTTCCTCTAACTAAAATTATGATTCCAATTAAACAGATGTGTTTTCTCTAGATTTGAATTCTGTTTAACCACTACATAGCCTATATATTTTTTTTTAAATAATTTTGGACATTTCTGTTATCCAAACAATAGAATTCCATAGGGCTATAGCCTAGGCCTACTTTTTTTTAAAGTAAATAAAATAAAATTAATAGGCTACACAATAAAATCAAATAGCCTAAAATGAAGGTATTTTAATGTGTTTCAGTTTCATTTTAGCTGATTATGGATTATCGGTCTTTTTAAAAAATAAAACGAAGAAACTTTGAACTATAGCCTAGCCTACTCAATTTCTGGAAAATCAACTCGTGTTTTAATGTGTTAGCAGTTTCAGATTTTGGGAAAGGAAATTACATGGACATGAGTGTGTTAACTTATGACGTTTAACACCCTTTCGTCCTCGTGTGATTTGTTGGTTGATATAGACGGGCACGTAAGCTACCACTGACGAACTTATGTGAAGGCAGGCAGCTGAGCTGAAGTGTGTCATGAGACTGTGTTGGATGGTCCGCCTCCTGACCTCGACTCGTCTTGGCTCCTGTAAGGAAGTTTGCCTTTAAAAGCGCAGGAGTGGAACGGGACAAGGAGTCAGCGCAGCGGGATTCACGACATCACCAACATGAGCTCTTCACGCGCCGTGGGACTTTATTGGACGCTTTTACTCGCTATTCTCTGCGAAGCATCGGAAGGTAAATGCAACTTTTTAGCCCATGGCTAATTTAACTAGTGTTTTTATGTTGTTTGCACTTAATATAAAGCTCAGCTAAATTTCACTCTTGAATATTAGCTAGCCGATATAACGTTAATATGACCAGAATTTACAGTAAGAGAAGGAATTGTGTTGGGCGTTCACGATAGTAAACATTTAGTTGTTTATATCATGTTTTGTAAGGCAATGCTTGTTTTTGACCATGTTTGTTCCATGGATACCAGAGTTATAACATGTAGCCTATGCGTGCAGATGCTGGTTCTTGTGCAAGTTTTTATTTATTTATTTATTTTCTATGTCTAATACCAATGTGTCCTACTTTTCTAGACCCTGCCCTGGCGGTCCAAAGGGAAGTTACTGATATTGTGGTTGATGAAGGTCTGTTTAGATTATAATTTTGGTTTTAGACCACCAAAGCTGCCACCCTTTGTACTTTACAGGCTGTATAGCCTATAGATGGTTTTTAAAGGGTGCCGTCTATCATTGCTTTTGTACCAAATACACACACACTACTGGTCAAAAGTTTAAGATCAGTAAGATTTTTTTTGTTTGTTTGTTTGTTTTTAAAAGTCTCTTCTGCTCACCAAGGCTGCAATTATTTGATAAAAAAATACAAAAAACAAAATAAACAAAAAAAAAAAAACCCCAGTAATATTGTGAAATATTATTACAATTTAAAACAGCGGTTTTCTATATATAGTGAAGTGTAATTTATTCCTGTGATCAAAGCTGAATTTACAGCATCATTACTCCAGTCTTCAGTGTCACATGATCCTACAGAAATTATTATAATATGATGCTCAAGAAACATTTATGATTATTATCCATGTTGAAAACAATTTTTTACATTTTTATTTCAGGACTCTTTGATGAATAGAAAGTTCAAAAGAACAGAATTGATCTGAAATGGAAAGCTTTTGTAACATTAATCACTACCATTCAAAAGTTTGGGGTCAGTAAGAATTTATTTTTTTATTTTTGGGGGAAAGAAATTAGAAAATACTTTTATTCATCAGGGATGAGTTAAATTGATCAAACGTTTCAGTAAAGACATGTATAATGTTTATAAAGATTATATTTTAAATAAATGCTGTTCTTTTTACCTTTCTATTCATCATAGACTTTGGGGGGAAAAATGGTACACGACTGTTTTCAACATTGAAAATAATAATATATGTTTTTTGAGCATAAAATCAGCATATTAGAATGATTTCTGAAGGATCACATGACACTGAAAACCGATGTGTAATCAGCAACAGTAATGATGTTGAAAATTCAGCTTTCAGATTTCATTTTAAAATATATTAAAATAGAAAACAGTCATTTTAAATTGTCATAATATTTCACAATATTACTGTTTGTCATTTTTTTGTTTGTCATCAAATAAAGCAGCCTTGGTGAGCAGAAGAGACTTCATTTAAAAACATAAAAAATCTTACTGATCTAAATCTTTTGACCGGTATATATGCTACAGATAGATAGATAATAACACTAGAGTGTGTTGTTGTAAATATAAGCATGTTCGTGAATTGGGCAATGATTGTATATTATTGATTTATACAATAGTAATATCACAGTTAATAATGAGCAAGTTATTGAAGTAATTAACTTGTGGTAATTAATATTTAGTAACTTACCAATCGGACAAAAATCGCTCAACTGGTTTGTACATTCATTTCCAAAAAAGTGTCAAACTATTTTGCGCCACTTGCACAATGCACAGATTGAAAGCTGGTCTGTTAAGGTACGCTGCGGTCACATCGTTGTTCTGCAAATATTCGTGGGCGAAAACCAATCAGTTCATAGGAATCCACACAATTGGGAATTTCGTAAGGGCGAACGATTTCCCCCTGCAGATTGCACAGCACGTTGGTCACGTGGGTCCGCCGCGTTGACCAACAGAAATTTGTCTAAATCTACTGTTTCAAATCTACTGAGAATTGTCTATTATTAGTCATGTACTATCCATGTATAAACAGTGACGTGTTTACACAAATCATTAGGTGTTCGACTTGAAGCGACGCTGCGTAGTTTGACTTGACACCTTTAATACGCATAGATCGATGCACTAGAGATTTTGCCATCTCCTATTTGTTTTAGTCTGTGTTCCAAGCAGAGAAATGTCCTAGCGCTTGTCCAATCAAATTTGAAGACCGGAAATAACCGGAAAAAACATAATTATATCACCAACTGCATATTGTTAAATCAAAATGCACAACTGTCAGATTTCTCATAGATATTCCCCAGTATTTTTTATTCACTAATAATTAGCCATGGTTGTGTCAGGAGCTGATCATTATTTCTTTCCCTGTTTATTAGCAGATTTACTTCAGAAAGAGTTGTCACTTTCCCCTGAGGGTAAGTCCATGATCAGTGATTAACTTGACATGTTGTCGATCGATTGGTTTGTTTTTCTCATGGTTAGGTTTAATTTCAAATACTGAGTCGTTAAACTATTTCTTATTTGAGAACTGGAAACTTTGATGATGCAGAGACCAATCATCCCTAACCTTTCCAAAGTGATGGGTGAGTGATCTCCATTTTCTTGAATGGAAAGTCAATTAATTTGTACTTTATGGTGTTTTCCACATCCTTTCATGTGTTTCTTTGTACGTATTTAGCTGCAGACTCTTTAGACATGACCCAGAGAGAAGCCACAAACTTTCACCCTGAGAATGTCCCAAAAGGTACAGTTGCATGCAAACTTATTATGTGTTTCGGTTTTCCAATGTCTTAAAGGAGAACTCCGGCGCAAAATGAACCTTTGGTCTAATAAAACATCCGTACTTAGTCAATCGTTCTCTAAAATTTGTTTTCATGATAATCGAATGTAAAAAGTTTTATCTCTAAAACTGTTTAGCATATAATGCGAGTAATGGGGGCATATATAATAAGTAAAAAGAAATCGCTAGTTAATACCACTAACAAGGCTCAAAACAGCCCACACTAACACAGTAACATAATGAGGGTCCCTGCATGCAGAACAGGAGCCATCTTGGAAAACAGTCACGACTAGTCAAACCACGAATGTCGTGCTGAGTGATCTGAACTGTATGAAGTTCAGCGAACTGTATGAACGGCGTTCGGCTATCGACTTATCGAGACTTTTTTCTAAGATGGCTCCTGTCTGTATACACTAAGTGAACTGTCTTTATAAAATATCTTCTTATTAAACGGTCTGTACACTTACAAAGTTCTCAATGCTTCGTTTTGCATAACCCTCATTATGTTACTGTGTTAGTGTGGGGCTGTTTTGAGCCTTTGTTAGTTGTATAAACTACAGATTTATTTCTACTTATTATATGCCCCCATTACTCGCATTATATGCTAAACAGTTTTTAGAAATAAAACTCTTTACATTCGATTATCATGAAAACAAAACTCAGAGAACGATTGACTAGGTACCGATGTTTTATTAGACCAAAGGTTCATTTTGCGCCAGAGTTCTCCTTTAAGTTGAGCATGTTTATATAAAGTGCTGTTCAACAGTAATTCATTTTAAAGAAGCTCTAAACTGGATCAATAATGTATAGTTCTTGTTGCTCTTCAGGTCACCAAGTGTTTCGCCCTCGCTCCATGGGTCCCGTGAACGGATCAGAGGTTGATTTCCCCCCATCCTTTCCAAATGCAGGCAACCTGAACAAAATCTGTCTATTTAGTAACGCTCCGGTCAAGTACCCAAAGGACATGCTTCCTTCAACTGGCTTTAGCTATGCGGTTCGACAGGCTGAAGCTATCAATCAACTCCAGTCCTGGTACAGCGTCTGCTGTCGCATTAATGGAACAGAAGCAGAGAAAATCTGTTGTGCTGTACAAGCGGTGAGATTCTCAACATTATTATTATTATACCTTCTAAAGTTTGCTGTAGGTGTCAGTAAAGGCACTGAGACAATTAGGGTGCTTTCACACTGGTAGTTTAGTTCGAATTGGGGGACATGGTTCGCATGAAAAATTGATGAAAATTTAAAAAGAACTCGCTGCTTCACTACCATAGTACAATGCATCGTTGGAGAAATCAACTAGCTAGTCGCGACTGTTTCCCGAAACCCACTGTCGCAAAGTATCCTTCAACCACGTTGGTTTCGCACGTGGTGGAATAATAACGGCTTTCAATGAAACTTTTTAAGATCAAATTAACGCTAGATTTGTTTTATATAAATTACAGACATGTCACCTGAGGACTATTTCTAATTGTTCTCAGTTGTTCTGCTTTACTCAATTTTTGGCTCGTTCTTACATAGTAGAACACGTTCGCACATGCGCACTTTAAATCTTTTGACAAACTAAAAGACGTAAATTACATTTGTATGTTTTATAAATAAAAGGCACCGGTTGTACTGAATGTCAGCTTACTTATTTTGCTCAAGATAAGGATTTATTACCTCCAAATGTCATGCAATATAGAAACGATGCTTCTAACCACAGGTCGAGAGTTGTTGTTCAAACCACACAACTTTGCGATGCTGTTTGCGAATGTTCGTTGGAACGATGGTTTCGAGAAACACCGACTCGTTGAACTATGCTGATAATGACGGAACTTGCGACCATAGTTGGCTAACGATGCTTTCGGGAAACGCACGACTGATCAGCAAACATAAACAGAAGCTCATTGATTCTCGCAGAAGCTCAAATCATCATTGGTCAAGCGAACACGCTTCTGTTTACCACAACTGATGTGTGTGTTGATGAATGTTTATAGGATAATAAAAGTCTGAAGTCATCATAGAAAGTGATCTTTAGATCTAAAGTCTCTTTAGAAAGTTTGGACTAAACCGTTCAATTCATATATGGATTAGTTTTACAATCTCTTTATAAACGTTTTGAAGCGTCGAAGTGGTAGTTGTGTAGCTGTCAGTGGACACGGACAGAAAGCTCTCAGATTTCATTAATAAGATCTTCATTTGTTCTGAAGATGAACGAATGTCATCTCTGTTTTGGTATAAACAAACTCTTTCTTACATTTTCCCTCAAAGTTTTAGTCATTGTCATTGGTCCAGCACCAAATGATGTTGCAAAATCGCCCCTTCTTGAACCAACAAAACAAACAGCAATGTTTTAGTGTTTCTTTACACTCACATCTGTTTTTAACAGCTTTCAGATTCCTCACATTACTAAAGTAGAGGCTCCAGATCGAGGGAGACGATCATTTAAAGGTATAGTTCACCCCAAAATGAAAACGTTGTCATAATTTGCTCACCCTCGTGTTGTTCCAAACCTGTACGAGTTTCTTTCTGATCTGTTGAACACACATTCAGATATTTTAAAGAATCTTGATGTTAGCCTTTGACTTCTGTAGTATTTTTTTCCCTACTATGAAAGTCAATGGCTACCGTTGACTGATTCTTTAAAAATATCTTAATTTGTGTTCATACAGGTTTGGAACAACATGAGGGTAAGTAAGTGATGATAACATTTTCATTTTTGGATGAACAATCCCTGTAAAGACTTAATTTCTTCATAATCGACATTGTCTGCAATTTTACGTGACTCGGTTTCTTCTCTCATCTACACTGTAAAAAATATTGTTGGTTTAAAGGTGCCATCTGGGGAAAAAAATCAATTCATACACCATATTCCATACCAGATGGAGGCAGTATACCTCCAGAAAAATACCTCCGCGGCCGCCTGCACTCATGTCTTCAAACAACACGGGCGAGCGGGTCTCCCTCACGCATATTAATCAGTAAAACTAATAGTAAAAGGTTGGAGGACCGCAGTTTCACATGGATCATTTGGAGATTTTCAGAGATTAGAGACTAAATGAACAACATCTGAATACTAAATTATAAAGGCCGTCTCATTGACAAGCCGGTGCATTTCGACGATATGGGAAATTAAAGCCCAGGCATTTTTAGTTTATGGTATTCGTTTTGTTCATGTTACATTTTTATCATTAGTTTGAATTAATTTAACAGACAGCATTCCCTGATGTGGACCAAGCTAGCGCCTTTCAGAGCTGCCCACTCTCACAAATTCACCGTGAGACACACAACTTTTCACACACTCACGCCACATCCATTTTGTCATGCACAGAAAAGGACACAGAGACCGATCTCAGCTCTCAGATTCTGTTAATTTATTACGCAATTCAAACAATAAATGCAGTTTTGGCGCTTGTAAATGTTAGACGACAGATCCCTAACGCACGTGAACCGATCATCTCTACTAGCTAATGGTAAACGAACACGAACACACTGTTGAAAGATATGTTACAACTTACCAAAATGTATTCCTCATGCATAATATCGACCAATCATTTATTTAACTCATCCCTGAACTGAAATTTAGTAGCGGGCTGTATTTCCACACGACATCACGACATGACATGCAGGTTCAAGTACACACAAGCCGGCGCGACTTACTCGTGTTACTGCAGTTTGGCTGGTGGTAACGTTGCCCGCCCGCATACCGCCTCCCATGGCCGAAACTGGTATTACGACACCTGCCGGGCCGGGGCTAATAATTTAGCATGCTAATTTAGGTTATATCTCGGCAGCACTATAACTTGCCAGTTTTTTAATAACATCATTGCACTTATTTCTTCTCATTCTTTTGATGTGTGTAGCTCATTTTTTGGATATTTGTACCTCAATTATTCCATATGGCACCTTTAACTTAATAAGTAAGTAACCTCTTTGCCTTAAATTTTTAAGTTGATTGAACTGGAAAAAGTGAGTTAATACAAAAAAGGAGATTGATTTAATCATCAGAAACTCAAAATAATAAGTTATCTCAACTAAATAAATTATTTAAGTTGATTTGACAAAAGAAAAAATGTGTTTTTTTGCAGTGTACTAAAAGTGTTTATACACTGTAAAAAATATTGTTGGTTTAACAACCTGGTTGCCTTAAAATTTTAAGTTGATTGAACTGGAAAAAATGAGTTAATACAAAGAAGGAGATTGATTTAATCATCAGAAACTCAAAATAATAAGTTATCTGAACTACATAAATTAAACTGATTTGACAAAAGAAAAAATGTTGTGATTACAAATCAAGAAAATATATATATATATATATATTTTTACAGTGTGTGCACCATCAGGGAAATATCTGCTCTCATGTATGATTTAGCCGATCTTTAGCTAAAGTCTCTCCTTGTTTTCCTCTTACTATTTAGTCTTTGGGTAGAAAGTATCCAAAACATCTGGCTGGCAGCCTTGAAGCGGGCCAATGCCAAAGACAAGCTTTGAGTTTGATTCTCTCATGGCTGTTGCAATCACTCTCTTTTTCTATGCGTTGTTGTAAATGTAACTAACTGTATTTATACTAAAGCTGTTTCTTTATTTCTGACTACAGTGGAAGAGAAGTATGTGTACCTACTGTACTAAGGAATTCTCCATTAAGACCAGTCACTACTTCTGCTGCAAGAAGAGAGGGAAGGCCAGATGGAAATGTTTTGAGAACGAGGCGTCAGATTCTTCATATGACGTCCCGCCCAGGGTCTCAAATGTCAGTCCTCCTCGAAAGATCAGAGGCTTCAAATATAACTCCAGCGCTTGCAAAGGGGTAAAATGAATGGGAGAATGCTTTTGGTTCAAGGCATAGAACATGGTTTTAAAGGGCATTTAACAAATCAATAAAACATCTTTGGTAATTGTTCACCTGATTGTAATGTGACCCGAGTGAATCAAGTTTAGACAAACTGAGTACAACAGTGATTTTTATTAATTACTTTTTCTGTATTTCTTTTATTTTATTTTGAGGTTTTAGTGTCAGTATTATGTTTAGAAAACATTTCTGGCATTTGTTTTCTGGCATTTTTTGGTAAGCCATGATGTTTTTAAAAATGACATTTTAAGTTAAAGTAAATTTTAAGTGGAATGTTGGTGTTGTTTGTTCCACTTTAAGACTGGTCAATGTAATAGCCTAAGTTTGATTGATGTTTATGTTGTACTTGGAACCCTTGACATCTGGGAAAAGGCCTTTAGAGGCCATATATGGTGATGTCCATGCATATTCTTGCATATCGACTGGGAAAGTATGGTTACAGATTATGTAACACTGATAATGTATTACACAAACTCCTAGTGAAGAGTATGAAAGATGCCTGAAGAAAGCGGAGGTGTTCCTCATCTTCTCTTTTCTCCCTTCACTATCACCCTATGTAAACGAACTATATTTTAATAAATAACTCAGTATTACACCTCTGACTCCTAACTAGTCATTCTTCAAATCCTGATAAGACAACATTGGTTACACCACATAATATATGGTCACATCAAATGATGAAAATACACAGTACAAAATTATTTCTACAACACTGAGAATTAGCACTTTTTTCTATTAGTGTAGAAATAGTGTTAGTTCTCTTCTGCTCTATCTATAAAGGCAAAATGTAAGGTGGCACATTACATATATATTTAAAAATACGGTAGCAACATTTTAGGTTTTACAGACTTTTAACCGTATGTAATTTTACAGCAATATGCCGTTTTTTATTATCTGATATAATGTTAATTTACTGATCTTTTGATGTATTAATATTTGTTTCGTTCCATTGTAATACACTGACAGCCAACAATCACAGCAGTGATGAGACTCAAATGATCAATAAAATCATAAGCCAAACAGGAAAATATAAATATATACAGTAGGAGCTGCACAGTGTCATTCACACAAACATTAAAGGGATAGTTCACTTTGAAATTAATTTTTGATATGCTTTAGCTTATCTCAAGGGCATCCAAGATGTAGGTGTCTTTGTTTCCACAGTATTTTCAATTTTGATATTTTTAGGTCAAAAAGGTTCTTGTCAATCAGTCATATAATGGAGGTCTATGGTCACCACCTCAAAGAGCATGCACAGAGAAGTCCAAATTAAACATGATTTAATGACTTGTAAATGTAAGTACACATTGATGGCCTAAGACATGAAACAAGCGGTTTGTCAGTATTTATGTTGTTTAATTTGGACTTCTCTGTGCATGCTCTTTGAGGTGGTGACCATAGACCTGCATTATATCACTGACAGACACGAACGGTTTGACCTATGTTGTGTACCTAGATTTTAAATAATAATTAAAGTACAATGAAGATCTCGAAAGTCATAAGTATGCATTTTATTTCTTGCAAGAAATAAAATTGGCATTCAACATACAGACGGTTTCTACATGTGAAGGCGAAGGCTTGTCCCTATTCGCCCAGGTTATATACCCTAAACACAGGAAATAATTGTATGTAGGCTGCGTCTGGTTCGCAGAAGATTGTCCCCTATGCAGCCTTAAAAGGAAACCTGTTGATATTGCTTTCTTGTTAACCATATATTTATCTAGACAGGACAATGACATCTTCGTTAAAGTTTCCTGTGTTTAGCTGCTGTTCGACCTCACACCCTTTCTGCTTATCTCTCGTTTGATCAAAACCTGCACACATACATTTCACACAAAAGAACACAAAAGAAAAGAAACACATCTAAAAAATATAAATGTAAAATTCCCATCACACATAAAAATATCAAAATTGAAAATACTGTGGAAACAAAGACACCTACATCTTGGATGCCCTTAAGGTAAAACATCTCAAAAATGAATAAGCATTAATTTAACAAAAGAAAATGTAATATAAAACCCTAATGTACATAACTGATTAGAAAAAGGAGAATTATGAAGAAACAGTTATAAAAAATAAAAATTAAACATTAAATGTGAAGTGTCACATATGGGAATTGTGGGAATGTTAATTTAATTTTTTTCACTGTAAATACAATTCAATGACTTGTTCTTATACATATAACGGTATTTTACTGTAAAATTACATTAAATGTTCCGTTGTATACCTATCACAGTTATTTACCGTATATATAGTAAGTAAACTTTCTGTTAACTACGTAATTAACAGTTTTTCTGTCTGTCTTTTACCGTTAAAATCACGATCATTTTTTACAGTGTTGAATGTAGCTTATATTTATTTCTAAATAAAATGATAGATGGCTCTTTCTGGTCATATTTGGCACATCGTTTTTTTTAATTAAAATTATTGGCTTTCAAATGACAACAAAATAATTGGTCAAAACATTGAATACAACTTGTTTTCATGCTATGAGCTGTTTTTTTTTATCCCCTAGTATCTTATGAAATTGTATAAAAAACATTATTTTAATGCAATAATAATGTAAAAAAAAATTACAATAATAATGTACAATAACAATTCAGTAAAGTTCACTCACATTTATTAACAGATTGGAATATACAATGTTCTTTTTATAGTCAATCCACATGACATTCGAATGAGACACAAAAGTTTACATTTAACAAATTGAAATTCTTATAAATTGTGACTCTTACAAACCTAGATTTCCAACATTATAATATGCTAATGTATGATGCTACTTCAGGCCCATGTTTCTTTAAAGACGACATTAATTCATTTATTGTGCAAGTAATTTGACAAAAATTACACTTCAATTTTAACTTATTTTCTAAAGTATTGTATTTAAAAAAATTATTTCAATAAATAAGTCTGTCACTACCAGTCATAACTGGGCCATTGCAACAATTGATTCTTTGACAGAAAAAAATAATTAATATTTAAACAAAAGAAAGTACCGAGTTTAAATAAATACAGAGTAAATACAGAGT